AAATGGTGATTTTCCAGTTCGCAAAGTGTATGTTTACCAGGCCGGGTAAATCGTTAGCTGTGTGACTTTGACCACTCCAGATCTCTCCATTTTTTCGTTGGTTACCCTCTGGTTATGACTAACATAGCCATGGAAAATCCCCACCATAAATGGAGGTTTCTAGCTTGGAAAATCATCTGTAAATGGGCCATCTATACCATGGCTATGTTAAATAACCAGAGGGTATTTCCATGGAAAGATCCACCATCTTCAATGGGAAAACTATGAATTTAACCATGAGATATTTAACCATAGTAATTTCCACTGGAATTTGGGAAAACATCTGATTAATTCTGATTCACTCTCATAAATCCATGTCCCCTTGATTCAACATCTAAAGTGCTTGTATTTCCACTCTCATTTCACCATCTGATTGCATCTTCGTGAGGAATCAACACGCTGAAGAGTCAGCTCAAGCAGCTCCGAAGTGACTACCTGAAGGACGTCCCTGGTGGATTTGAGAAAAAACGGGGATTTAAGCTTCAAAAAAACAGGAGCTCCAGAAAAGATAGAACAGTCATTAGCAAAAGTCACGTGTTTTTTTTGTTACAAGCCGTGGGCTTGTACTTTTCGATCTTTTCGGTTGCCAAAAAAGGGATTAAAGTCAATGGAGGGTATAGGGCCATTTTGGGGTGGAGCATATCTGAATATAACCACAGCGGTGCTTAAGCATGACGAATCAGCTTTTTTTTTTTCGGATGAGGGACTTGAAGCCGTATGCTGATTGTCAGCAACACAATATGGGGACTTGCAGCAAAAAGCCATGGGACTTCGCCTGGAAACATGCCGACTCCTTTAGGTTCCCGCATCCGAAGATCGGGTTCTTCCACCATTTCCAGGGAGTGAATGCATTATATATATATATGTATATTGCGAAGCAGCCTCGCTTCAACAGCAGCCACCAGCAGCAACGCCTCTGCTGCTTTTCCCACCAATGGCTCAATCCGCACCGCTGCCCACCGCTGGAGGTGAACCAATAGTTGCGGCCAAGGTGCAAATGGTAAACAACCTCCCTGACATGTAAGACCATGGGAAAACAAGGACTGCCAAGATGGCAGCTGAGGTCCAACCGTCAAGCTCACCAGGACAATAAACTGTGGAAGTTTCACACGCCCCTTACTATCTTTGCATGTCCTCTCGTGCCAGGCCAAAAATCCTTATTGTACCATCTATGCCCGTTCGGATCACAACCACGAGTTACTCTCTCCAACCCCAAGGTTCTAAGATCAACAGGACAATCCAGAATTCCTACAGGAGAAAACAACTGATATCTTGGGACATGATGTACGCGGATAACCTGGCCACTTGAGTCCTGTTCCCATGTGTCCTGCCGGACTTCTTCTGTACATTTCAAAACTGTCTCATTTTCTGGAGACTTGGACGTCACTTCTTTGGCCCATTTCAAACGCTGTCGCTTGTCAGATCTCTGTTGCCACACTCGATTTTCATCAAACAAAGAATACCGACCACTCTTCAAACACTGTCGCAAAACGCTTGCATCCATGCTCTTTGTCAAACAATCTGCAAGCTGAGCATTTGATGTAACCCATCTCACTACGCAATTGGCCTGCAATCTTTCTCTGATGAGCAAACACTCAATGGTGGTCCTATGCTCCTCACACTGTGGAACGGCCGTGCGAGTCAGAAGGTCATAGGCACTCTTACAGTCGGTCACAAGAGCAGCTTGTCGGGCTTCGTGCAACACTTTCTCGGGGGACTGCCATTCAATCGAGGGGTTATTCAACCACTGCCACAGAATCCTCAACCACAACAAACGATCAACATTCCCACTCAATGCCACTGCTTCAGCCCCCAAGGTGCTCCTAGTCACCCGTTGAATTTTCTTGCTCATCCAAGCTACTGGTGCTACCACTGATCTCTTGTTCTCCAGCAACTCTGGAGTCGTGACAAAAATCAAACCTCCCTGATGGGCATATTTCTCTTTTCCTGAAAGGAACGAGGCATCGGAGAAGGCACAGAAAGTCACTTGTTCAGGGGCAATCGGCAATGTCATTAAAGTCACAGGGTGAACCTTTGCCTCATGCAACACTTGATTTGCAAAAATCATGTCATCGACTGTTGCCTTTGCCACCCTACTTTGGATCTCTCCAACTTTGGCCGCAATGTCGGGACGGGTATGGACTGCTGCATATTGCAGAGCTCCAACAAGACTTCGCAACTGCGTCACTTCACTCGGGCTCAGCGCAGCTTCAGCATTGGTACGTCTCTGTTTTGGGATTTCAATTGGCCTAATCTTCTCTATATAGTCAATCTGATCATACTCCACACTGCAATCATCCCACTGCTGAAACCTTATGCCCGTGAAGACAAAGGACCCTTTTTCAAATGATCCAAAACTGAAACGCTTTCTGACTCTTTCCAAGGCTGCCATAAACATGTTGTCCCCACCCCCAATGCCATCATCGACATGAACCCCTAGGGAACCATGAACTCTTTCTTTCCCCTTTTCATCAGCAAAAACAAGACTAAAAACACAAGGATCAAAAGGACACTGTTTAAAACCTTCTTGCAACAATGAGTCACGAAACTTACAATACCACAAATAAGGAGCATCAACACGACCATACGCACTACCTACCAATTGACACTGATCACCAGGTTCCAACCCAAGGGCTTCTGTTAACTCTGGGGTGGGATACAAACCAAGCAAGCGGCCGTCTCCTTCGCCTTGAAGAAAGGCAGTTGAGACATCGAAGGAAACTAGTTCCCAACCATGACTACTCACCTGTTGCACCACCATCTGTCTTCCATCTTTGGTGAGTGTGGGTGAATCATTTTGAACCACCCCAACTCCAGGATCCTCGTATCCAACAACAATCGACCGGGCCTTTGCCTTACGACCCTCACTCACATCCTTGGGGTGATCCTCAGGTGAGGCTGATTTCCAGGTGAGCAGCCATCGGCAGCGCATGATTGCTTCCTCAGGAATTTTTCCTTTGGATGCTTTTCTCACAGTTCCATGTTTGAGCCAGGCGCCTATTTCTTTGTGCTTGGCCACCGCCATGCGCTGTTGGTCAGCACTGCTTAAATCACTCAAACGGACTTCAACTCGTTTCTTCTTTGCTCCAGTCACCAACAACACACTTTCATCTGCTGATCCAGCGCAAAACAGTGCATGCTCTTCATGGTTTTCAACAGGGATTTCAATCTCCCAGAACTGGCAACACCTATCATCTGCAGACATGGTGATGTCATCTCCAAACAGAAGGTCATCCGTTGGTTCAAGATTGACGCCCGCCTGTGAGGCATCACCATCGGACTCACTGACACTTTCTGGAACCGGCACACGCACGTAATCAGGGAGTTCATTCTCTGACTGTTCCACTCCTTGAGGCGGTTCAGACTGATTGCTCAACTCCCCATTAGGTGTCCCAGGTGGCTGAACTGACAACTCTCCTTCGGGCTCCCCAATTGATGGGTCATATCCCTCTGTTTCAGCTTCCCAGTCAGGAAAATCCTCCCCATCTACATCAATGAAACTGCCATCATTGAGGGCTCTCTGTAAATCTGAGTTCCCTGGGCCAGACTCTGTGAGCAACTCTTTGGCCTGCTTCCACTCCCGAAAACTGGCTGCACGAAGTTGCTCAGGGCTCGTGCGCACTAGCTTTCCAGCATGATTCAACCAAACATTCTTGGACCCTTCGACTGCAACAACACTCGCTGGCCCATACCAGCGACCACGATCTCTACGTAGATTGGCACCCCTCCTACGCCAATACAACACAAGATCTCCTATTTCAAAAGGTCCTCGCATTGGCCGAGTCCGCCTCAAAAGCGCACGACGAAGACTGGATGAATTATCAGCTTCTATGAAAGCTCTGCGTGCACTGCTGCGTCTTTCCAGACTGGCTCGAAAGGCTTCGCTCTCGGGACCAGTCCCTTCAGCCAGAGTTATACTTCCTACCCCCTGACTAGAGACAACGGACCCAGGCAATCTTTTGGCAATTCCAAGGACAGCTTGTTCGGGAGAGTATCCCTTCACTCTGGATAAACTGTTCTTGGCATTGAACACATGAACCAAAGCCTGCTCAAACTCCCCAACCGAGCTTATTGGTGACTCCAAATCCATGCGACTCAACATCTTCTTCACAACTGATCCGTGAATTTCCACTCTCCCCAGTTGCCAGTGTGCTTCACTTGCACTGACTTTGACATGGATGTCATGCCTTTGCATTCTGTCCTGCCATGCTTCTGCCGTATATTCCGTGCCAGGGTCAACATACACAACTTGTGGAGTGCCAGCCCATAACATCCAACATTTCTCAAAGACTCGAATTTGAGAATCTGTGTCCGCACTGACAACATGAGAACCAACATGAAACAAAGTCCCTTCATCAATGATATGAGAAAACTGAAAGTTCTTACCAACACTATTAGTCCAAACAGCAGTGTCCATACCAATCACTTGATTGAATCCCAGATTCTCATGAATTGTGCCAGGACGGGTGGAGTCTGGACCAGCTTTTGTTTCCGCACAACTGTCGCACTGATAATCCAGAGCTCCTTGAACCAAATGAGGTTCCGCATGCCTTTCCTTCAAAAACCAGGCAAACTTCTGTGGATGTGGATGGCCTAAGTTGTGATGCAACCTCCGAATCTGAGCCTTTTCATCACCATTCAACAACATGTACCCTGGTCCATGAACCGGAACATTCTTGGGAGGGTCTTTACTTACCACAACAACATCTTCACCATCATCCCCAGTACCTGCTTCCTTATCAGACCCCATTGTCTCAAGCTCCCCTGACTTTGGGAAACTTCCAAAAATGGTGAGGCTCATCTTTGCGGATTGACCCTTTCGAATTTGCTGCCTTTTTGGCAGAGCAGCCCATTCCTCAGCTGGGCCAAGTACCATTGACTGACCCGCGATGCGGTCTTTGACCACGGTCAATCTCAACGGGATGGTTTCTGGGTCCGCATCAGCTCCAGGAAGGCGCAACCTCTCAGTTCCCCTACAGGCCTCAACCCTCTGAACCTTCAAGTTTGGGGCCCCCTTCTGAATCTGAGCTAAAACCCCATCATCATCCAAAACACGTTTGCCTACCCGTGGAACCATGGTTTCAATTTTCTTAAAAATGCCATCCCAATATTCACCGGCTGCACATCCGTGGTCACCTGCTGGTGTCTGTTTGCAGTGATACCTTGGACGCTTCACTTCTGCTGAAACCGGCTCTTCTAAGCTCTCTGGAACTGCTGCAGCGGACACTCTTTTTCTTTTGACAACTCCGGCAACAAAAGCTTCATCAACATCACAAACATGCAACTCATCCAAAACCAGTGGCTTCTCATCAAACCTACAGGAAACATACCTTGCCACATTCCTACCAAAACCGGAGGTGTACCTTGCAGCATATTCCGAGAGAGAAATCCACCGACCCAAATGATAGATCTTGCCAGCAATTGGAGCATGCTTATGATGCCCAGGACACAATCGGTGGTCAAATGCATCATGGAAAATCTTTGAGGAAGTGTAGACATGCGTCCTTTTCCTAAGGAAATTGTTTCCAGACACTCGTCGCATCACATGTGGGGCAAGTAGTTTTCCAACTTCACACATATCAAAAACAGTACACAGGGTCCCACAGTAAATATCATAGACTTCCGGTTGATAAATCAACTCCGACCCTTGGGGTTGTTCCAAATGAAATTGACCACCACAATCCATCTGATACCAATACACATCATTACAAAGCTTCAAATGAACACGTTGCTTCTTGCGACCCTCTGAAATCATTTGTTCTGTGCTTTTGCTCCTGCCCATGTTTCTGCGACTGAAGTTGCCCCAATATTTGCATTCTGGTGCCATCCAGACTTCTCTCGGTCGCTCTTCCTCCAAAACTTTCCAAAGCGCAGCTTGACCTTCTGGTGTAGAAAGATCTCCATCACTGAAAGTGAATCTTCTGGCCTTCAATCCCAGCTTACAAGCTTGTTCTGTGATTTGAGAATGTTCTTCACAATAGATCTCCAGAAGATCACTTCCAAACTTCTGGAAAGTCTGAGAGTCGGTCAGCGTCGGCCATATCTTTTGAAGACAGGTCAGCTCTGCTTCAATTGTTCCCATTGCTAGTTCAATCTTTTTGAGCAATTGGTTGGTCAATTGCTGATCTGTCTCAGTTGCTCTACGCTAGACCTCTCATTCAGACTCCCTCCAAGTCGGCCTTGATCTTGTCCATCTCGCGCTGCAAGATCGCCATGCGAGTGATCATCTCCTCTTTCTGCTGCACCTCGATCGCCATCTGCGACTGCTCTTCTTCCATGGGGCGCTTCTGACTTGGTGATGACATCGTGCTCATCGGACGCGATGTCACCCCTCCTGTCAACAGCTCCCACTCTGGTCCTTGACTCTTCTCGATCTCTGCCTTCGGATACATCTTGGACATCTCGGCTTTGGCCCACTGTCTGGCATACTCCTGGTAGAAGGCCTTCGAGCACTCTTCCTGCATCCTGTCCATGGCTTCCACGTAAGCCTGAAAACTCAGTGCCCAAGCTGACACCAGTTTCCTGTGCTCCTTCATGAACTTGCCGTACTTTGGGTCCTCCTGGTATGCCTGAAAGAAGGACTTGTGCCGCCACTTCCCTTCCGGGAACTTCAACTGACCCCACTCCTTCAAGGTCATCACACCTGGAGGGCGACGACTTTTGATCTCTGGTAGGAAGAGTCATGGCTGTCAGCTTGAGAAAGAGCGGACTGACTTTGAAGCCGATCTGGTTCTCGGTCAACTTGAGGTTGAGCCACAGCAGCTGTAGCAGTCGTCGAAGATGTACTTGACATTGTGTTTGGCTGCTGCTGCTGCTTGTGTGTGCAGTAAACCTCCCTACTTCGATTTTCAATTCTACTACTTGCCAAAGTGATGACTTCCTCAAACTTTTCTGAATTACTTCTCATGCTAGCCGCATCAATCAAGTCTGACAACTTGACAATAAACAGCCCCTTGGCATTTCTGGTGAGTGTCACGGATTTTCCCCAAGAAGACACTTCCAAACAGGATTTACTCACCAGAACATCTGCGCCAAGTGCATGAAGAAAGGCATTTGAAATGAGGAAAGGCGTGGTTCCTTGAACCACTTCAATTTTCATCCATTGTTTCCCAAACTGTACAAACAGCGCACCAACACTCTTCAAAACACCATTGTTACCAAATCTAAAAACGGTTTCAGATTCCTTCCACTTAACCATCTCACGGTGTTCTGCCTTCAAAGTAGTCAAAAGTGCACTCACTCGCTTTTCGCCGATCACGGACTTGCTTGCACCGGTATCTATGATCCCAGTGCCTGAGTCACCTAAGCTGCCATTCCTACTTTCCTCAGTTGACTCAGGGGACCTGCCAGTGACACTGAAGCTTGTCTCAATTGCTCGACGAAACATTTCTTTCAGTTTGGGAAAATATTTCAAACTCTTTTCACAACATGACTTCCCTTTGGGAATGTTGATCGCATGCAAAATCATTTCATGGGAGCCTATTAAACTGAACTCTTCATTATCAACATGGTACTCAGGTGGCACCATCGTGGGCAACCAAAATTTTGAACACATCCCCACCTGCCAATTGGCAAGATCATGGCCAGGAAGTTCATCAAGAAGTTCACCACCCCCTGAGAGCTCTTCCGTGAGGATCACGTTCGCATCTGCAGTCACATTCTTGTCCTTCAGCGGGCACTCATCCTTCCAGTGGCCTCGTGCTCCACAGGCGCGACAGGTAGAGCTTGCTATGCGCTCTGCAAGACTCTGATACTTTCTGGGGCCTTTGCCCTTCTTTGACTTGTTCTTGCCTTTCCCTTTCCCATGACGAAGGAGCCAAAACCCTCGGCTGCGAAATTTGTCTCGAAGCTTCTGTCGTGCCTCCTGGTACGTGGAGAACGCCATGGCCAGTTCAGGTGAATCCTGACAAACATGGATCACCTGATCCTCGAACTCTTGTATGGCAAGTGCTGTCTCATCACCTTCCTCGATGAGCATGGCTAAGGCTTGCTCTTCATCACATTCTTCTTCAGCTGCATAGTGAATTTCATCCAACTCCTCTTCCACAAAGTTGGCTGGATACACCTTCTTGCGTCCAGCATCTGTCTGCCCAAGCACTTTGGTCGACAGGGACCTCATTGCCTTTTCCACTGCCGACGGATCATAGTTGCCTGCCATAGAGACCACACGCTTCTTGTCCTCAACAGTCAAGGCACTCTGTCTCAACATCACGAAGGCTCGAACTTGTTGGAACGGTCATGTTTCAGAGCACCACTTCTTCGAAAGCAACATTGATTCGGTTGACAAACGACATTGCTGACGCCTCGTCTGAAGTCTTTTGGACTACTCGGTAAAACGCCTTCTCAAATTTGTCAAAGGTCTGAAGTTCCTCGGCATCCTCCCAGGTCTCCAAAGCTTTCAACAGTACCTTGTAACCAGTCTCAGGGTCTGTCAACTTCGACGCATCAATGGCTCTCACCTGACTCCATGCAGTCCCTTTGCACTGCAAAGCCAACCTTGGTGCCAACATACTCTGTCCTTCACAGGGCATATGCCCCATAGAAACTTCACCTTGTCCGCATCTCTTTGGCGCTATCGACACTAGGGTCGAAACTCGGCAACAAGCTCCACAAGTTGCAAGTCTTCTCTTCCACACTCACACTTCCACCAGGCTGTCCCTCAGCCCCGTCTGGCATCTTCCCAAGACGCTTCCACCTTTATTTTTCACTACCCAGTCGCCTCACCAGGTACTTGCCCTTCTCAACCAAGTTTTCCTTCTGGAAGTCCTCCTCCAGCGCCAGCCCGCAGGCTCCGCTACCAATGCGAAGCAGCCTCGCTTCAACAGCAGCCACCAGCAGCAACGCCTCTGCTGCTTTTCCCACCAATGGCTCAATCCGCACCGCTGCCCACCGCTGGAGGTGAACCAATAGTTGCGGCCAAGGTGCAAATGGTAAACAACCTCCCTGACATGTAAGACCATGGGAAAACAAGGACTGCCAAGATGGCAGCTGAGGTCCAACCGTCAAGCTCACCAGGACAAAAAACTGTGGAAGTTTCACAGTATATATATATATATGTATAATTATGTATATGTATATATATATAATATTTATATTTATGTAGAATGTATAACCTGTACTGTATAAATTGGGGCAGACCCAAGCACCGATAGCCGCGGCTCGTAGGAAATCTCAGCCCTTCGGGATACCAAGCGCAATGGCAGCGACCCCCTGGACGCGATTCCGGACATTCGCTACTTCTACGAGCCGTTGCATTCGCTGGAACCGCACGAGCAGAAATTCATGATTGACCTCATTAGAGAAGTTCTGAAGATGATGGTTGGGCCCTCAGATGCGGATGGGAGCTGGATTTAGTTTTTCTTAAATCTTAGATCCAAAATTAGTGTTTTTGTCGATCCTGTCACAAAAAACGCAGCTTGCAAATGGACTTTTTATAGATCTTTCTAGCTGCAGTTTTCCCATTCTCAGCAACTTATTATTGCTACTAAATCCCGCACGGTTGTTTGAAAGGTGACTTCGTCGCCGACATATTCTGACGGTCAAATCCTCATGTTATGTCAGAATATGCCGATGTTTCTTCATGAAGAATTACAACGTTAACACACCTTATTTCTCAATGGGTTGTTAGGTTGGCTATGGTTGCTTGGATGAGTTCTCATTGAGTATTGTCAACTGCTGGGTAACTATCAGATTCTGTTGGTCTAAGAACTTTTTCGTCGCGACAAAGTTGCCCTTTTTGTTGGTCCCTCGTTTTCTCTCAAATCCTCATCGCGATATATCGAGATAAACCCACATTTTTGACAACATTTTTTTTGATTTTTGCCGATTTTTGTGGAGTCTTCAATGGTTTTGATTTCCCCAGTGAAATCTTCAGATAACGGGAATATAGTTATAGGTTTAGTTGGGATATAGCCCCTAAAACTATTGGTGATATCCCATGATTTGCAACAAACGCGTCCGAAAAACCTTCGTTTCGCCCAGATGGATAGCGACTTCGCCTCGGGAAAGGTGAAATCTTCAGCGCTCGAGCGCTTTGTGTCAGAGGCGCCACGGATGATGGGAGGTGGCGCGGATGGTGCAATGTATACAATGTGGGGCCCCCGTGGCCACGAAATCGCAACAAGTTGGGGTGAACTAATAACTCCAATTTCACTATGGTGAACATGACACGCTTAAATAACAATAGTTCATTGGGTTTATAAAGCAACCTTATAACGGGGGGGGACCCACATTGTATATATATATATAATGTGATGTAGAAATATGGTGATATAATTGATATAATTTGGATTTGTGACAACTCCCACATGGGATACCTATTGGGTGTAAAGTTTTTTTTTTTAATAAAAATATTCTCATGATATATGGCTTTAATGACACGAAAACAGGGTATAAAATGATGGTATGATGTTTTTTTCCCCAAACAGTTTACTGTAGGGGTTCTCAGTTCTTTCTTAAGAGGTGTGTCCGCCGTGTCCGCCTCTCTGGGTCTGTCGCTTTATTTGTCTCCTTCATTTGTCTCCCTTCATGTGTCTCCCTGAGTGGTGATGTGTCTCCCTGAGTGGTGGTGTCCGCCTCGCCGGTCTTGTCTGTGCCTTGTCTCCCTTCATTTGTCTCCCTTCATGTGTCTCCCTGAGTGGTGGTGTCCGCCTCGCCGGTCTTGTCTGTGCCTTGTCTCCCTTCATTTGTCTCCCTGTGTCTCCCTGAGTGGTGGTGTCCGCCTCGCATGGTCTTGTCTGTGCCTTGTCTCCCTTCATTTGTCTCCCTTCATGTGTCTCCCTGAGTGGTGGTGTCCGCCTCGCCGGTCTTGTCTGTGCCTTGTCTCCCTTCATTTGTCTCCCTTCATGTGTCTCCCTGAGTGGTGGTGTCCGCCTCTCCGGTCTTGTCTGTGCCTTGTCTCCCTTCATTTGTCTCCCTGAGTGGTGGTGTCCGCCTCGGTCTTGTCTGTGCCTTGTCTCCCTTCATTTGTCTCCCTTCATGTGTCTCCCTGAGTGGTGGTGTCCGCCTCGCCGGTCTTGTCTGTGCCTTGTCTCCCTTCATGTGTCTCCCTGAGTGGTGGTGTCCGCCTCTCCGGTCTTGTCTGTGCCTTGTCTCCCTTTATTTGTCTCCCTTCATGTGTCTCCCTGAGTTGTGGTGTCCGCCTCGCCGGTCTTGTCTGTGCCTTGTCTCCCTTCATTTGTCTCCCTGCATGTGTCTCCCTGAGTGGTGGTGTCCGCCTCGCCGGTCTTGTCTGTGCCTTGTCTCCCTTCATGTGCCTCCCTGAGTGGTGGTGTCCGCCTCTCCGGTCTTGTCTGTGCCTTGTCTCCCTTCATTTGTCTCCGTTCATGTGTCTCCCTGAGTGGTGGTGTCCGCCTCGCCGGTCTTGTCTGTGCCTTGTCTCTCTTCATTTGTCTCCCTGAGCGGTGGTGTCCGCCTCTCCGGTCTTGTCTGTGCCTTCATTTTGTTTTCCTTCATTTGTCTCCCTTCATTTACCTCCCTTCATGTGTCTCCCTGAGTGGTGGTGTCCGCCTCTCCGGTCTTGTCTGTGCCTTGTCTCCCTGTCATTTGTCTCCCTGAGTGGTGGTGTCCGCCTCTCCGGTCTTGTCTGTGCCTTGTCCCCCTTCATTTGTTTCCCTTCATGTGTTTCCCTGAGTGGTGGTGTCCGCCTCGCCGGTCTTGTCTGTGCCTTGTCTCCTTTCATTTGTCTCCCTTCATGTGTCTCCCTGAGTGGCGGTGTCCGCCTCGCCGGTCTTGTCTGTGCCTTGTCTCCCTTCATTTGTCTTCCTTCATTTGTCTCCCTGAGTGGTGGTGTCCGCCTCTCAGGTTTTGTCTGTGCCTTGTCTCCCTTCATTTGTCTCCGTTCATGTGTCTCCCTGAGTTGTGGTGTCCGCCTCTCCGGTCTTGTCTGTGCCTTGTCTCCCTTCATTTGTCTCCCTTCATGTGTCTCCCTGAGTGGTGGTGTCCGCCTCGCCGGTCTTGGCCTTGTCTCCCTCCAATCCTTTTTTCTCCCTTCATGTGTCTCCCTGAGTGGTGGTGTCCGCCTCGCCGGTCTTGTCTGTGCCTTGTCTCCCTTCAGTTGTCTCCCTGAGTGGTGGTGTCTGCCTCTCCGGTCTTGTCTGTGCCTTGTCTCCCTGGATTTGTCTCCCTTCATGTGTCTCCCTGAGTGGCGGTGTCCGCCTCGCCGGTCTTGTCTGTGCCTTGTCTCCCTTCATTTGTCTTCCTTCATTTGTCTCCCTGAGTGGTGGTGTCCGCCTCTCCGGTCTTGTCTGTGCCTTGTCTCCCTTCATTTGTCTCCCTGAGTGGTGGGTGTCCGCCTCGCCGTTCTTGTCTGTGCCTTGTCTCCCTTCATTTGTCTCCCTTCATGTGTCTCCCTGAGTGTGTGGTTTCCGCCTCTCCGGTCTTGTCTTTGTGCCTTGTCTCCCTTCATGTGTCTCCCTGAGTGGTGGTGCCCTGCCTCGCCGGTCTTGTCTGTGTCCTGTCTCCTTCTTTGAGTCTCCCTTCATGTGTTCCCCCTGAGTGGTGGTGTCCGCCTCTCCGGTCTTTTCCCTGTGCCTTGTCTCCCTTGATTTGTTCTTCCCTTCTTTGTCCTCCCTGAGTGGTGGTGTCCGCGTCGCCGGTCTTGTCTGTGCCTTGTCTCCCTTCATTTGTCTCCCTTCATGTGTCTCCCTGAGTGGTGGTGTCCGCCTCTCCGGTCTTGTCTGTGCCTTGTCTCCCTTCATTTGTCTCCCTTCATGTGTCCCTGAGTGGTGGTGTCCGCCTCGCCGGTCTTGTCTGTGCCTTGTCTCCCTTCATGTGTCTTCCTTCGTTTGTCTCCCTGAGTGGTGGTGTCCGCCTCTCAGGTTTTGTCTGTGCCTTGTCTCCCTTCATTTGTCTCCGTTCATGTGTCTCCCTGAGTTGTGGTGTCCGCCTCTCCGGTCTTGTCTGTGCCTTGTCTCCCCTCATTTGTCTCCCTTCATGTGTCTCCCTGAGTGGTGGTGTCCGCCTCGCCGGTCTTGGCCTTGTCTCCCTCCAATCCCTTTTTCTCCCTTCATGTGTCTCCCTGAGTGGTGGTGTCCGCCTCGCCGGTCTTGTCTGTGCCTTGTCTCCCTTCAGTTGTCTCCCTTCATGTGTCTCCCTGAGTGGTGGTGTCCGCCTCTCCGGTCTTGTCTGTGCCTTGTCTCCCTTCATTTGTCTCCCTTCATGTGTCTCCCTGAGTGGTGGTGTCCGCCTCGCCGCTCTTGTCTGTGCCTTGTCTCCCTTCATTTGTCTCCCTTCATGTGTCTCCCTGAGTGGTGGTGTCCGCCTCGCCGGTCTTGTCTGTGTCTTGTCTCCCTTCATTTGTCTCCCTTCATGTGTCTCCCTGAGTGGTGGTGTCCGCCTCTCCGGTCTTGTCTGTGCCTTGTCTCTCTTGATTTGTCTCCCTTCATGTGTTTCCCTGAGTGGTGGTGTCCGCCTCGCCGGTCTTGTCTGTGCCTTGTCTCCCTTCATGTGTCTCCCTGAATGGTGGTGTCCGCCTCTCCGGTCTTGTCTGTGCCTTGTCTCCCTTCATTTGTCTCCCTTCATGTGTCTCCCTGAGTGGTGGTGTCCGCCTCTCCGGTCTTGTCTGTGCCTTGTCTCCCTTCATTTGTCTCCCTTCATGTGTCTCCCTGAGGTGTCCGCCTCGCCGGTCTTGTCTGTGCCTTGTCTCCCTTCATTTGTCTCCCTGAATGGTGGTGTCCGCCTCGCCGGTCTTGTCTGTGCCTTGTCCCTTCATTTGTCTCCCTTCATGTGTCTCCCTGAGTGGTGGTGTCCGCCTCTCCGGTCTTGTCTGTGCCTTCTCTCCCTTCATGTGTCTCCCTTCATGTGTCTCCCTGAGTGGTGGTGTCCGCCTCTCCGGTCTTGTCTGTGCCTTGTCTCCCTTCATGTGTCTCCCTTCATGTGTCTCCCTGAGTGGTGGTGTCCGCCTCTCCGATCTTGTCTGTGCCTTGTCTCCCTTCATTTGTCTCCGTTCATTTGTCTCCCTGAGTGGTGGTGTCCGCCTCGCCGGTCTTGTCTGTGCCTTGTCTCCCTTCATTTGTCTCGCTTCATGTGTCTCCCTGAATGGTGGTGTCCGCCTCTCCGGTCTTGTCTGTGCCTTGTCTCCCTTCCCTGAGTGGTGGTGTCCGCCTCTCCGGTCTTGTCTGTGCCTTGTCTCCCTTCATTTGTCTCCCTTCATGTGTCTCCCTGAGTGGTGGTGTCCGCCTCTCCGGTCTTGTTTGTGCCTTGACTCCCTTCATTTGTATCCCTTCATGTGTCTCCCTGAGTGGTGGTGTCCGCCTCTCCGGTCTTGTTTGTCTCCCTTTGTCTCCCTTCTTGTTTCCCTTTGTTGGATGGTGTGTTCCCAAGGGTCTTGTCTCCCCTCGTCTCCCCATTGTCTCCCTTCTTGCTTCCCTTTGATAGATGGTGCGTCCGCCTTCCCGAGGGTCTTGTCTCCCCTTGTTTCCCTTTGTTAGCTGGGGTGCGTCCGCCTTCCCGAGGGTCTTGTCTCCCCTTGTGTCCCTTTCTCTCCCCTTGTGTCCCCTTGTGTCACCTATCTCCCAGTTGGATGGTGTGCCCGCCTTCCCCAGAGTCTTGTCTCCCCTTGTCTCCCTTCTTGTTTCCCTTCTTGTTTCCCTTCTTGTTTCCCTTCTTGTTTCCCTTTGTTGGATGGTGTCTGCTTCCTGAGGGTCTTGTCTCCCCTTTTCTCCCCTTGACTCCCCTTTTACCGCTTCTTGTTTCCCTTTGTTGGATGGTGTGTCCACCTTCCGGAGGGGACAAGTTGACTCCCCTTGTCTCGCCTTGTCTCCCTTCTTGGTCGCCAAGCGGTGTACTGTTAGGGGTTCTTAATGCCTTCTTAAGGTGGCCGCCTTGGTGTTGAATGGTGTGCCCGCCTTCCCCAAGGTCTTGTCTCCACTTGTCTCCCATTTCACCGCTTCTTTCTTGTTTCCCTTTGTCTCCCATTGCCCATTGTACCCCTTCTTGTTTCCTTTTGTTGGATGGTGCGTCTGCCTTTCGGAGGGTCTTGTCTCCCCATCTTGTTTCCCTTTGTTGGATGGTGCGTGTGCCTTATCGAAGGTTTTGTCTCCGATTGTCTCCCATTGTACCCCTTCTTGATTTCCCTTGTTGGATGGTGTGTCCGCCTTCCCGAGGGTCTGGTCTCCCTTTGCCTCCCATTGTACCCCTTCTTGTCTCCCCTTGTTGGAAGGTGTGTTTGCCTTGCCGACGGTCTTGTCTCCCCTTGTCTCCCATTGTACCCCTTGTTTCCCTTTGTTGGACGCCTTCCCGAGGTGTTTCCCATTGTACCCCTGATTGTTTCCCTTTGTTGGCTGGTGTGTCCGCCTTCCCAAGCATCTTGTCCCCCTTCTCTCCACATTATCTCCTTTCTTGTCCTCCAAACAGTGTACTGCTCTAGGGGTTCTTAACGGTAACGCATTCTTAAGGTGTTCGCCTTGGTCTTGTCTCCCTTTGTCTCCCACCCAATGTCTCCCTTCGTGTTTCCTTTCTGTTGTTTGGCGTGTCCGCCGTCCCGGCACCTTGTCTCCACTTTTACCATCTTTTACCTCGTTGTCTCGTCCCCACATGTGTGCCTGTGTTGGATGATGTGTTTGCGTTCTCGATGTCTTGTCTCTCCCTTGTCTCCCAATGTTTCCCATTGTCTTCCCACATGTGTGTCTGTGTTGGATGGTGCGTCCGCCTTCCTGACGTCTTGTCTCTCATTGTCTCCCCACATATGCGCCTGTGTTGGATGGCGTGTCCGCCTTCCCAAGGTCTTGTCTCTCCTTCTCACCCCTTCTGTCCCATTGAGCGCATTGTCTCGCATTGTCTCGCATTGTCTCGCATTGTCTCCCCACGCGTTTGCCTGTGTTGGATGATGGGTCTGCCTTCCCGACGTGCTGTCTTCCCTTTTTGTCTCCCATTGTCTCCCCACACGTGTGCCTGTGATGGTATGTCTGCCTTCTCTGGCCTCTCCCTTGTCTGCCATTGTCTCCCACTGTCTCCCCACATGTGTGCCTGTGTTGGATGGTGTGTCCGCCTTCCCGAGGTCTTGTCTCCCCTTGTCTCCGATTGTCTCCCCAGAATATGCGTTTGTGTTGGATGGTGTGTCCGCCTTCCCAAGGTCTTGTCTCCCCTTGTCGTCTTCCATTGTCTCCCATCTCCCTTCTTGTTTCCCTTTGAATGGTGTGCCCGCCTTTTCAAGGTCTTGTCTCCCCTGGTCCCCCATTGCTCCCCATTCTCTCCCATTGTCTCCCCGCATGTGCGCACCTGTGTTGGATGGTGTGTCCGCCTTCCCGACGTCTTGTTTCCGAAGTGTTGGATGGTGTGTCCGCCTTCCCGAGGTCTTGTCTTCCCTTGTCTCCCTTCTTGTCTATCCTTGTCTCCGGTTGTCTCCGCGTGTTTCCCATTTTCCCCCATTGTCTCCAATTGCTTCCCATTGTCTCCCTACATGTGCCTGTGTTGGATGGTCCACCTTCCCGAAGTCTTGTTTTTCATTGTCTCCCATTGTCTCCCTAGATATGTGTGCCTGTGTTGGATGGTGTGTCCGCTTCTTGATGTCTTGCGTGTCTCCCATTGTCTCCCATTGTCCCCCCAACTGTCTCCCATTGTCTCCCCACATGTGACCTGTGCTGCATGGTGCGTCCACTTTCCCGAGGTCTTGTCTCCCCCTTGTCTCCCATTGTCTCCCTTCTTGTTTCCCTGTGTTGGATGGTGTGTCCGCCTTCACGATGTTTTGTCTCCTTTGTCTCCTTTGTCTCCTTTGTCTCCTTTGTCTCCTTTGTCTCCCAGCTTGTCTCCCAGCTTGTCTTCCTTCTTGTCTCCCAGCTTATCTCCCAACTTGTCTTTCTTCTTGTTTCCCTTTGTGGTGGGTGTCTGATTTTGCATTTTTTCAAACAGTGTACTGTTGGGGTAGGCTTTCTGAAGGTGTCCGCCTTGGTGTTGGATGGTGTGTCCGCCTTCCCGAGGTCTTGTCTCCTATATTGTCTCCCAGTTTGTCTCTCTCTTCTTGTTTTTGCCTGTGGCGGGTGGTTTCATTTTGCATTTTTTCCAAAATAGTGTACGGTTAGGGGTTCTTAATTCTTTCTCATGTCATGTATTTGATCCTGTTCCTCAACACGTCTTGAATCCACCCACTGTTTGGGGTCTACGGTGGTGTATTTTTTTTAAATCATTTGGGTGAATTCGAAGCTGGTGTTTGTTGCTCCATGTTGCCAAACAACTCCTTGGATTGTCGGACCCATCGGGGATGGTCCGGTTGTTTTTTGACAAAACGAATGGTGGGTCGAGAAATTCGGGGGTGACTCAAGCTGCCAGCTGCCAGCTGAAAAACACAGGGACTACTGACTATAACCTACTATAACCATCTATAACCTACTTCTTGACCATCTTTTTGAGCCTTTTTGACCAGGGGAGATGATAGGAATGATGTCAACTTGACATGATGGGGACCCTGGGGCCGACCTTGGACCTTGGGTGAATCACCGCCAAGATCAGCAATTTGGCAGTGCTTCCAATGTTTCATGTCCCAATAATGTTACCCTCTGGTACACTAACGTAGCGAACTGGAAAATCACTATTTTTAATGGGAAAACTCACTATTTCTATGGCAATTTTCAATAGTTATGTTAGTTTACCAGAGGGTAGATTCCCAAATGTTTGTTTGTCAATGTCCCTTTTGAAGATGATTGAATCAGTACAGTTTCTAAATTTGCAGTACTGTCTTAGCAGGTTGCCTTGTAAACATGGGGACTTTGATTAAGACAGAATGGGAATAGTATGGAGTAACCAATTTAATGGAGTACGTAATGAGGATTGTTTCAAGTGAACGGGGGATTTACCTCAAATTTTGCTCATGAAACTATGGGGAAATACGAGCCTTTTCAACCCTGGGGCCAGGGGAAACACGGATGTGAGCCAGAAAATATGGTGGATGTGGCCCACAAGAATCAGGGGTTCAAGCAACAGAAATGGGGGCCTGGTCGTTTTCACCAAAAAAATTAAGCCAGGTGAACGCCAGAACCATAGTTATAGCCAGGAATGTGGAAAAATGGGCATCCCTGGTCCAGAGAACAAGGAGGAGATGCGAACAACACGAGATAGATGTGGTCTTTGTATTGCTTTGTTTCAAACATTGGCCATTCTCAACTTACAAAAAAGGATGATGATCCAAACTTATACCTATTTTTTTGGAAACAGGTGGCTCACCAAGTAGTGTAGGAATAGGATGAACTGCCAGTGAAATAATCCGAGCTTCGCCACGACAGGTCCATGACAATGAACTCAAGCAGCTGAAAGATGAAATTTCGGCGAAGAATTCTCAGTTAAAGGAATTGAAACAGGCTGCGGATTGGATATCTGGGTGATTCTTTTTTGAAACCAGTGGAGACCTGAGTATTTTGAGGCGAGTTTGGGACAGATTTTCAGGTGACTTTGGGGTAGCTTTTGTTTGTGGACCCGGAAGTTTTGAGTGAGTTGGGTCAACATGGGTTTAAGTCTTAAAAAGGAGGGGTGCTTGCATCGCTATGCTGAAAGCAGTTCACCAAATTTCGTTTCTTCAAGGCCCGATTCAAGGAGACCGTTTCAGCTTCTGTCGCCAGGCCCAACACTTTCTGGAGACACAGATTTTGACCGGCTTCTCCGACGGAAAAGCTGGGCGGATTCGGGCACCCCCCCCCTAGCCATGGTTTCACGACACCCCAAAAATTGGAACCGGCAACACATCTGCATTTCAGAATGGAAATTCTAACAGAAAATAGGGACAAGGGATGACAAGGGTCTCCTATTGTGCCTGTTGAAGATCATTCTCCATCTGTTTCACCAACCGATTTCCATCTTGAAGGATGCAGAAAAGCTCCCCACAACACCGTGAACATTATCTGCATTATCTGCAATATTGCCGTCCACCCTGATTTTGCTACAAACTCCAGCTGTTTCGATAGTTTCACTCCCAATTTTGCATCGTCAGATCCGGACCTTGCGTCAATTGCCTTCATTTTTGTTGGGATTCATCGAACTTCCCAAAAAAAGTGGGCTGGTTCCTTACCCTCCGGTAAAATGAACATATGGAAAATCACCGATCTTACCCTGGTGTTTGGGGTGGCGAATGAAAAAAAAACATCGTGGCTCAAAGATCATGGCCTATGGAAAATCACCAAGAATTCCATGGAAAAGATTACAGCCTACCTGTTATTCCTATTCCATGAATTGCGGCCTATGGAAAATCACCCATCCCTTATTTTTCCGGGATCATCCAACAGGTTGTCGCAGCGGTCAAAGCGCAACCAATACCTTGGAGAAGATGCTGAACATCACCGAGGACCATGGGGATGATTGTCTTGGGATGGTTGATGTTTTTTGTTCTTTTTTTTTGGGTTTAAAGACATGATATTTTTCCGTTTCTGGAAAAGAAAAACAACACAATCCCAACCAATATCAAGCATGGTAGAAATCGGATGACGACTGAGACAATGGGAGTGTTTTGCATTAGGGGGATGGGATTACGGCTGAATCGTTTTCTGTGTATATATATGAGCCCGGTCCCCAGACCCCCACCCCCCCCTCCCCCCCCAATGGTATCCCCCCCCACTCCTAACCCCCCCCACCCCCCCAAAACCTAGTATTTGCATGTTATTTGCACATATACATACACATATACACATATATACTCCCCTTTCCACCCCTCCAACCTCGCATCTCTACGTTATTTGCAGCACTTGAGAGCCACGACGTCGTCAACGGACCTTGTCTACCTGTATATTTCTATCATAACCTTTGTTTCGAACCGCCTATAGCGTGCCTCGCACATGGTTTACAACATATTTGCTACCTATGGATTACGCAAAGCTTACCTATGCAAACCTAGACATATGTACAGTAGAAAAACAATAAACATATATATTAGGTACCAGTGACTTAGGACTTGTGAAAGATACCCTGGGGTGGGCAAGTCCTATCTCATCATGCTTCAGACCCCCCCTGCACAAGTCCTAACTCATCAGGCGTCCGTATGAGATTAGAAACTATGCTAGATTTTTTTTGTGCGGCATGGACCACTCGTAAAACCAGGATGACATAGGAATTAACTAGCAGAAGTATACTAAGATGATCCTAAGTCATCACGCTCGTGCGCTGCAGCTATTTGGCTTCCCGTTTGTGTTTCCCGTTGCACTACCCCGTTTTTGGGTCGAAGTCCTCGAGCCAATCGTTGAAAAAATGATGACTTAGGACTTGTGCCCATCCTCAAAAAAAATATTTCACAAAAATCTGTGATTTTCCATTTTTTCCTTCGATTTATATACAGAAAGTATTTTAAAGCAATTAAATAAATTGAAAAATATAAATATAGGGAAGCACAACGGTTTTTTCCTTCGATTTATATACAGGCAGTATTTTCAAGCAGTTAAATAAATTGAAAAATATTGAAAAATGTATTGGGATGTAATGTACTGTATTGTAATGTAATGTAAGGTATGTATGACGTTCTGATGACTTAGGACTTGTGCCCCTCTGGTGACGGACGCTTTCCAAGTCCTTTGCATCTATGTACTGTAATGTACTGTACTGTAATGTACAGTAAATACTGTACTGTAATGTACTGTAAGTATGTAGGTCCTGATGACTGAGGACTTGTGCCCCTCTGGTGGCATACGATTTTGTGCACCAAGTCCTATGCATGCATGTAGTGTAATGTACTGTACTGTAATTGATGTAATGTACTGTAGTGTAATGTAATGTAATGTACTGTAATGTACTGTAAGTATGTAGGTTCTGATGACTTAGGACTTGTGCCCCTCTGGTGACATACGATTTTGTGCACCAAGTCCTATGCATGTATGTACTGTAATGTACCGTAGTGTCATGTAATGTAATGTAACGTAATGTAATGTACTGCGCTTTACTGTAATGTACTGCACTTTACTGTAATGTAATGTACTGTAGTGTGATGTAATGTACTGTACTTTACTGTAAGGTAATGTAATGTACTGTAGTGTAATGTACTGTACTGTACTGCAATGTACTGTAAGTATGTAGGTTCTGATGACTTAGGACTTGTGCCCCTCTAGTGACAGACGATTTTGTGCACCAAGTCCTGTGCATGTATGTAATGTAATGTACTGTAATGTGTTATAATGTAATGCAATGTACTGTAGTGTAATGTACTGTACTTTACTGTATTGTAATGTAATGTACCGTAGTGTGATGTAATTTACTGTACTGTAATGTAATGTAAGTATGTAGGTTCTGATGACTTATCAAGAGAAGATTTTTTATTTTTATTTTACCCGAAAAAGTGCTTAAGTCCAATCATAACCCCAATGACTTAGGACTTGCTGCACACAAATCACCTGGTAAGAACACCAGTGACTTAGGACTTGGTGCACAAACTCCTATGTCACTATGGTGACCTAAGTCCTAAGTCATGGGTGCCTATTATATATATATGCACATTCTAGATACTACATATTGATATCTTGATCTTGTATCTATCACATATTTCGTTTACATTGTACATGCTGTACACGTATATATATATATGTACATATACATATACATACACATGTCGGCCAAGAAACCATTCCTCCAGCAACAATCGGCTTGGCTGCTGAGAAAACCCCCCTCCCCTACCACAGGGGGGGGGGGAACCATCTGGCTGGGGGGGGGGGAGGGGTGTGGGGGTCCCTGCTCATATATATATATATATATATAGAATTGAGAATATATTAACCTGATGATGCGGATGCGTGTTTGCGCAAAAATGAGGTATACTGCAATGTCAACCCTGGATTTTACCAAACCCTGCTTGATTGATTAGGAGGGTTCTCCCTAAATAGTGATACCCTCTGGTAAACTAACATAACTATGGAAAATCACCATTTTTAATGGGTAAATCAACTATAAATGGCCGTTTTCAATAGCTATGTTTGTTTACCAGAGGGTAATTGGCTGCAGTAGTAGATGGTACCAGTACACGTAAACAGCCCTGGGGTTCATCCAAAGTTGACAAATTAGGAATTCAGAAGCGATTTTCATGTTTTTTTTGACCTAAGAAGCAAAAACATGTCCAGGTAAACAGAGATTTTAGTCTATTGTTACTATTAACTACTATTAACCATCTAATGATTGGGGTAAGGGTAGAATACCCAAGTTTTGACCCATCATAACTCACCCGCTTGCAGGTCTTTTTTGGCATCATGGGACCGCGGGACCAACATATTTTTCCCTTGGAACCTTGGGGTTATCATTAGGTTTGCCATATGAAGAACAAACATGTGTAGATATGTATATATATATTTATATAATATATATATAATATATATAATATATATAATATATATATATATATATAATATATATGTATAGATACATGTATACAGAAGTGGGATATACACTTCATGGAAATTTCAGCCAGCCAGTTACTTGCGCCATGCAAAATGGCAAAATGGCTTCAGCATCCACACATTTGAACGCCGGTTGGGAGGAAGATCCACCAGCTATTTTGAGTGATCAGATCAACCATGGATGATTTTTAGTTTTTTTCAAGCCTTTTTTTTGGTGATTTTGCTATGCTTATACTATTGTTATTAAACTATGGTTAGTACACCTAGGATTGTCACCTATGGTTTTTTTCAAGCCCTTGTGGTTGGTTATTTTAAGCTATGCTTATACTATTGTTATAACTATGGTTAGAACAGTTAGTACACCTATGATTGTCACTCTGGTTGAATCACTATATGGTTATCCCACTCCAATCCACCCCTTATGATCTACGATCTCAGCCAGGAGCAGTTGGCGAAGGTGCGGCAATCCTTCTACGCGCTCCAGAAGGACAGCTGCGATAAAAAAAGATGGGCTTTATGGAAGGGGCTTCTTCCATCATGGGGTCTGAACATGTGGTTTACCCCGAATTCTGGCGATGGATTTAGTGGAGCAAATGGTTAGTAAATGGGCTTTGTTCAACTAGTTTAATATACGGAAGAACGCACGAGTTGAAAGGGGACTCAGGAACCAATGGTTAGAAAAACCGCTTAAAAGTGGGATGAGTCTCCACGTATCCTGTCTATAAATGGATGAACCTGACAATGGTGATTTTCATTTTGATGGGTTATAACCATCTATAAATGGATTATGTATATATATATATATTATATTACCCTCTGGTTATTTAACATAGCCATGGAAAATCACCATTTTTAATAGGTAAACCATCTATAAATGGGCCATTTTCCATGGCTATGTTAAATAACCAGAGGGTATATTAACCATGAAATGGATCTGTTAGGATTTGATGGCTTTCAGTGTTTTTTTTTGCTTCAAACAGCCTCATTTAGCCGCTTGGATCAAGCTGGTGATTCCGTGAGCTCCCGGTGATTTTTTTCTGGGTCAAGCTGGGACTGGAACCATGGGGAGTTTTTTTTTCGTTCTAATATTCACTACAATATGAGATCATATGATAAACCCTCTGGTAATTGAACATAGCTATTGAAAATGGTGATTTATAGTGGATTTTCCCATGAAAAATGGTGATTTTCCATAGCTATGTTAGTTTACCAGAGGGTATGTATATTAATATGTAATAGATGGAACCACTATATATATATAACAATAGAATAGATAATATAATGATATGTATAATATAGATATTCCAATATATACATAAAATCGAATTAGAATTTTGGTTCCTGTTTCCCAGCCATAAAACATATACCATTTGTTCTGATATATATATAATATACACAGGTAACGTTTTTTTGAATTTTTCAGGCTGGGAAACAGGAACCCAAATGATCATCTGCGGAGTCCCCATCGGATGCTTGGGAAACCTCTGAAAAGCTGGATTTTCCCCATGAAAAGCTGGGGATGTCGCAAGGGGCAAATTCATCATTTTCCCTTCACCATTTCTAAAAATTCTTAAACCAGCATTGTTCACAATGATTCGTGGTGTTAAACCACTATTTTTTTTAAAATGCACGTGAAAGGCCTTTTTCATGGTTCAACTAGCAGTTTTCACAAGTTTTGGATGCTTAAAACCACCATTCTTCAGCATTTGATGGGTAAGCCAGCATTTTTCACCATTTTTTGGATGCTCAGAGAGCCATGATTTTTCGATTCCAGGAAGATCAGGAGCTCCAAGAGAAGTACCGGAGCCTCAACGAGGAACGCATGGAACTGGTGCAGCGCCTGGAGCAGGAACCGCCGGCGCAAAACGCGATAAGGTCGTGGTAGTGTTCGGTGGCTTATCGTAGTTACCCTCCGGTAAATAAACAGTTTGCTATTGAAAATGGCCCAGTCGAAATAGTGGATTTACCCATTGAACATGGTGGATCTTTCCATAGTTTTTTGTATGTTTACCAGAGGGTAGTTTCCCCCACTGGATTGTTGTTTATCATAGCTTATCATCGTTTTTTTCCGAATCATGGTGGTTTTTAATCAAAAACAAAGGATCCAGTGGCTTGATTGAAAACTAGTTCGATATATCGCCCGGTTTTCGTTTCTCATACCAGGACCCGGTGAGGTTTGCTGCGCTTTTGTAGCAAACCATATATGGCCATGGCAATAGAAATGGGGGCCTAATGTAATGGGGGTACTGAAATCTGGAGCCACGGATTTGGTCAATCTGTTGGGGTTTTTGACGACATTTCACCATACAGGCGGAGTCATAGACTTTGGTAAAGTTTTTTTCGTCTGTAAAATTGAGTTGTCAATACATGTAGTGATGCAATCTGATTGTTTTTTTGGGGGGTGAACGTTTGAGCCATACCCACATGTTCGTGGGATGAGAACAAGTTTCACCCTTCAGCCTGGAACCTATGTACATATGTATATATATATAGCATATATGCATAGTAAACCCACAAGAAAAGAATAGTAAAAACCAACTAGACTAGTGATAGTTTACTTTTCTATTTTTGGTGGCGATGACTTTTCTGGAAATTCATAGATCATGTAACTGGCTTTGGATACAAAGGCTTAGTATCCGCGATGGCCGCGATGGGTGCCGTGAGGAGATTGCTGAAAACTCCATTCTGCACACAGAGATTGGACGCCTCTGCAGTTGGCTCCTCAGGGATCTATGGATTTCGAATCAAACATGGCGGCATCGGACATTTTGGTGGTGAAAAATCTCATTTGTTTCGTCCAAAGAAAATTTGGGATGCCCCAAAATCCACTGCGAAAATCCATGGGTTTTAGTCTTGAAGGCTGAACGCTGATGAATCGAGGTCTCTTTCATGTCTTGGACACACCCGTTTGGGTAAAGGTCCCTGTTGTTTTGGGTATCCTTTCATGGCTTGGTTTTGGTCATTTTGTTGGGCTCGGTTTAGAATATCCAACCCAGAAGATCGCTATTTGACCGGGCCTCCGACATTGTCAAGATCCCACTCTCCTGACTCTCACCCCAACTGGCCCCAGAGTTGTAAGCTGGTTTGTCACCCACACTAGTTCGATATACCTACCATAACCCCAACAGTTCTTGGACTTGTGTACCTGATCGATTTAGCGAACACTTTTGGATCATTCCTGGGATGTTGAAACGACAAAGCTCCGACCGACCAGGTGTGGAGGAGGAGCAGAAGCAGACCATTCAGACCTTGGATGGCACCATTTTGCAGCTGAAAGAGACCATCCAAGAACAGCAAGCCAGGCCGGAAGACCTGAAGAGCCCTCACTTGGGCCGAAACATGGTTTGTTTTCGATCATGAATCCCCTAAGATTTGCCATAGATCGGGGTAAACCTGTGCAAAGCCGTTTCCATTCTTGCGGAAAAAATCGCTTGAATCAATCCTAAATCATCTCAAATCAATATTTTGATGCTTACCTCCCATTTCGAGTGGCTACATCCCTCTTTTCTACAAATCCATGTTGTTTCATCATTTTTGATGTTTTTTCCCAGACAACTTTGATGATTTTCCCTGGTTCAATCCCCAATTTTTCAGCGTCCTGACCCCGGCCATGAGGCTCGACAAGCTGATGTCCATGCGGCGGAACGTCCGTCGCGGCGATGCCTTGAAGTCCGGCGCGAACGCGTCCGGGGCTTCCGCGTCCGGGGCTTCCCCGGACTCTGAAGGCTTCGTGCAGGGATCGCATGAGTCGCACCACTCGCGGTACGGATATCGCCAGGACGGTGGTGTGGTGGTGGTGTTTTGTGATGGGCTATGGCTGCTGTTGGAATTGGAGGTTTCTGAATTTCCCAGGTGTGTATTGGGTTAAAGTGAGAGATTGGAAGTTGCATTTGGGGCCAGCTGTTTGCTTCCATCTCTTCGGGGACACTGGGAAATTGGATGCCTTGACCAGTCTCCGTAATTTCCCTCTCAGTAAAGGTTTGACATTGCCTAAGATGATCGAAGAGTTATTAATCCCTCCAAACCAGGACATTGTTTCATTCCCATTTCGGACACTTGCAACAAAATTTTTTCTGGGAGATGGCTGACTACTGACATCTACTGACCCTAAAAGCGCCATCCAATGATAGGAAACCAATGGAAATGGCCTGTGAGGACAGCAATCTCTTCACGGAAACAGATATGGGTTTCGAGACTGAGCCTCCAGAGCCTTCACGGGGACCTTCACGGGGACCGGAGGACCTGGGATGATCGATGGGATGCATAGAGTTGGGGTGAAGATCAAGAATTTTTTCTGCTTGGTGGTGACTGGAACCATGACATAATTTATGACTTTCCACATCTTGGGAATGTCATCATCCCAACTGACTCATATTATATAATATTACATATATATATATATAATATCTTTTTTTGGGGTCCTATCTTTTAGGGGGAAAAAAGGGGGTCCCTGATTTTGAAATTCGATTTTTCACCATTTCTGGTGGACAACTTGCGAGGTCCAGCTGCGGGCGGGCTGGTCTTCTTTTTGCGGGCTGGTCCATTTGGGTCCGATTGACTTCCAAAACTGACGGCCATTTGTACAAAAATAAATGACAACGGGTTTTTATTAACATATTATTTCGTTATTTACATATAATATACTGTATATATATATACATATATATACATATATATATACATATACATATATATATATACATATATATATATGTATATATATATGTACAGTATATATATAAATATCGATATGTATATATATATATATATACCCTAGGGGGCGGGGGTTCCCCGAGGGGGGAAGGGGTGGGGTGGGGTGGGGTGGGTGTGATAACGTTCATGTAAGTTGCGTGAATGGAGGGTGGGGGGGGTGGGGTGTGATAACGTTCGAACAGGGAAGGGTTCGGGTGGGGTGGGGTGGGGTGGGGTGTGATAACGTCATGCTACGCTAGTGTGTTGTCTCTCGTACCTGTCACGCACACGGCAAGCTACGCTAGTGTGTTGTCTCTTGTACTTGTCATGCATGAGTCCTGCTACGCTAGTGTAAGTTATCTTGTACTTGTCACGCACACGTCATGCTACGCTAGTGTGTTGTCTCTTGTACTTGTCATGCATGAGTCCTGCAAGGCTACTGTAAGTTATCTTGTACTTGTCACGCATACGTCAAGCTACGCTAGTGTGATGTCTCTTGTACTTGTCATGCATGAGTCCTGCTACGCTAGTGTAAGGTATCTTGTACTTGTCACGCACACGTCATGCTACGCTAGTGTGATGTCTCTTGTACTTGTCATGCATGAGTCCTGCTACGCTACTGTAAGTTATCTTGTACTTGTCACGCATACGTCAAGCTACGCTCGTGTGATGTCTCTTGTACTTGTCATGCATGAGTCCTGCTACGCTAGTGTAAGTTATCTTGTACTTGTCACGCATACGTCAAGCTACGTTAGTGTGATGTCTCTTGTACTTGTCATGCATGAGTCCTGCTACGCTACTGTAAGTTATCTTGTACTTGTCACGCATACGTCAAGCTACGCTAGTGTGATGTCTCTTGTACTTGTCATGCATGAGTCCTGCTACGCTAGTGTAAGTTATCTTGTACTTGTCACGCATACGTCAAGCTACGCTAGTGTGATGTCTCTTGTACTTGTCATGCATGAGTCCTGCTACGCTAGTGTAAGTTATCTTGTACTTGTCACGCACACGTCATGCTACGCTAGTGTGTTGTCTCTTGTACTTGTCATGCATGAGTCCTGCTACGCTAGTGTAAGTTATCTTGTACTTGTCACGCATACGTCAAGCTACGCTAGTGTGATGTCTCTTGTACTTGTCATGCATGAGTCCTGCTACGCTACTGTAAGTTCTCTCGAACAAGCACGGGAAGTAGATGCTACGGGTGGGTGGGTGGGAAACTTATATAGATATCATTTCATTATTGATGGGACTTGGCCGCGAACGATTGCGGCGTTTGTGGCGGAACACAAATAATGATTTATCCCAATCAAGCAAAATGTATCGGTATCCTAACATAATGTACCACCATCGTTATATTTTATTTTAATGTTCTACGATGGTATCTTGATGCATAGAATAACATTTGAATTGGTCGGGTTTGTGCCTTCTATAGTGGTTGATATGTCTTGTACTAATGCTTTTGTATAAAAACAGAAAAAAACAGCTGACTGTCAGCATTCGGAACTTTTGATGCTATGCAAAAACACTGTGAATTACCAATGAAAAACAGCATCACATCAAAATACCTGTGGAAACACAGTATATTATACCCTTTTCCAATGATCTTTGATATAAAACAAAAAGTCCACCTCGTAATTCCAATGGAGAAAATGAGAGCACCAAAAAAACAAAAATGTGAGGGTCCATAACTGACTTCAACTTCGACGGACGAAAAAAAATTGATCCGTAATTAAAAGACACCAACAATGAAAAGAACAACATGAAAAATATCCATTTTACCACAGTGAAACACTGTTTTCTCTCCAATTCAATGATAATCATTGACATCCTCTCGGGGAACCCCCGCCCCCTGCCGTATATATATATATATATATATACAAACAGATGTGCAATATGTATATATATATACATTTATCTATATATATATATGTGCAAACAGCGTGTGTATATATATATATATGTGCAAACGTATATGTGCAAACAGTATATGTAATACTGTATATATATATAAATGTGCAAGTAAGATATATACATATGTATATACATACATACACACACACACATATATATATATATATTAGATATAGGTATACACATATAAATTTATATACGTATGCACTTATATACAACTTGTATATGTATACAAATATGTTTAAATATCCAGAGTATATTCGTATATACAGTTGTTAATCATATATATATATACTGTACGCATATAATAACATAGAAAGATGCAGATTTAATTTTCTGATGTAAAAACTCGGAGACCACGGTCTTCTCTTGAGTTTTCTTTATGAGCTGCCTCTCCCCGGGATTGACAGTGTTTGCACTTCTGCTCTTGTTTGTCCTGGTAGTGGTGTAACCAGCAAGGTCCGACCAAATTAGTTGTTCGTTGTGTCTTTGTTGCTCCCTCCGACGGGGTGTTCACGCGCAGACACACTGCTGATTGTGCATTTTGTACTGTTTTTTACAGTGTTTTCTGCTTCTCGACAATGCTGCCCTGGGGGGGGGCAGGAACAACTGTTTCTTCGAGTGATGTTTTCTGCCTTTGTCCATTTGCACTGGTTTTTACAGTGTTTTTCGCGCTTTCGCGCTCTTGTTTTTTTGCACCATCTGCGTTTTCCCTTGGTTTTTACAGTGTTTTGAAGCTTCATGACGTTGCTCATGCTACGCTGCACATTGGGGTGGGGTGGGGTGGGGTGGGGTGGGGCAATCACGTTCATGTGAACTTGATCACGTTGTTGAGGCTTCATCATGTTGCTGATGCTACGCTGCACATTGGGGTGGGGTGGGGTGGGGTGGGGTGCGGGGGATGTTAACGTTCTATGTAACTTGCTCACGTTGTTGATGCTACGCCACGCTGGGGTGGGGGGGGATGTTAACGTTCCATGTAACTTGCGCGTGAACAGGACGTCTGACCGTTGTTGCTTGGTTGTCACGTTGCTCTCCCAATGTGTTGTTGATGCCATCATGGAAATTTATGGGTTAGGTCCAGGTCGTTTTTATTTTTTTGTGATGTAGCCCCTGAACCTCATTAGGTGTTTATCAAATCTCCAATATTATAATTGAGGTATCCCTTTAAGGCGGCGCCCTACGCTCAGCTAAGATGCTTTGAAACTCCAGCAACTATGGTTCCTGGCAGATATCTTTATAGTTCAAGCGGGGTGTACAAACCAATGTACAACTGAGGGGCATTACTTGTGGGAGATCCTTAGATGTCCATGACTTTGCTACTGTGGATGGTCGTGAAATCCTGCAACAGTCGGAACAAACATCCCATTATTTATAGTCAGTCATTTATAGGGTTTCAACTTATTATCCCGTTATTTACAGTTTATAGTGATCCCATGATGGTAGATGGTCTATCCATGCTTATCCCATTATAATCCCAATGGAGTTACCAAGTGCTGCAGGATTTCGCAACCGTCCACAGATCCACAGTCCAAAACTTGAGGAAACCAGGGATCAACCTCAAGAGGATGCTCTTCGTCAAGTAGCGCCTTGGCGGAACATTGGGGCCCCCCAAATAACCAGTTGGGAAACCCATGGAACACCTCTAAATCCATTGGTTTTAAAAGTTTCAAAGCTCATTTTCCCAACAATCAATTGCCATTTCATGGGCAAAAAAAAACACATTTTCAGAGAACCCCCATTTGAATAGGGAACATGATCGTTCTTGAAGTTTTGGGCTTGCCCTACTTTCAAACCCAAATCATCCAGCATTTCGCGAAGGAACATCTGCAGAAACGGATTGCCGAGTTGGAGAAGTTGCTCCGGGAACACTTGGTGCAGCTGTCCACTCTGCCAGCGCAAGAGATGCAGGCCCTGGAACTGCGGAGGGTTGATGAAAACTGGTGAAACATCATGGCTTGACCATGTAAAATACCCTCTGGTAATTTAACATAGCTATGGAAAATCACAATTTTTAATGGGAAATCCATTATAAATCACCATTTTCAATAGCTATGTTAGTCATTACCAGGATTTGAACCATGAAACACGGTGAGAAATTTAAGCTGGGTTAGCAATGAGACCCAAAAATGGCACCAATGGAACTGGGTGAAGATCCAAGAAATTGGGGATTGACACAAGGGATATGATGGGTTGATGGGTTCATGTCGGGACATCCTGATTATCCCTGGGACATGGGTCATATCCGCAGCAAATTTTTTTGGTCAACCAGCTGGATGGCTACTTTGACACATCACTGGCGTATCTAACTGATGGTATCTAAAATTGGTATCTGTAGCCATGGGTTTTTAGATACTGGCTACTTAGATACCATCAGTTTTTTTTTTTTTTTTAGGGTATCTAAAATTGGTCATCATCATGGGCATGTGTTGGTAACAAACAAAAAAAATGTGGCTGGGCCAGGTTGTGGGCCGCCGAGTGGACTCCAAATTATCATAGAACTAGGTAATTCTAGCATATGCATAGACCAAATTATCATAGGACTATGTAAATCTAGCATATGCATAAATATGGCATTATAGCACACAAAGAAATCCCGGAATCACCAAGCAGAGGTTTGAGAAACATCTCCATGAAATGGCTATCAATCCCATTACAGTGGCCCCCAGTATTGTAGCTCGATTATATCAACGTCAATAAACCTCATATTTTCCAGGTTTCCAACTCTTCGGATAAATTAGAAGTTTGATAATCCCCATGAAATCACTATCAATCCCATTAATCAGTCCCAACTATGTAAATGCAGCTTTTCTAATAAATATGGTATTATATCCCACAAGAAGTCCCATAAAAACCAACAAGGCGTTCAACATATCAAAATCCCATGAAATCAGCAATAGTAAACCAGTAAACCATTCCCATTTTACCATTTGAATGGGTTTTTATAATCAGAATCCCCCACTAGTAGGTTTATTGGTGGTTTTACCACATCAACCATTCTTACATCCCTTTTTCACCACATTCATATGAGGGGTTCTTAAAATGGGGGGATTTGCAACACCATGGGTTTACCACTCCCATCCCCATTTTCATGTGGGTTTGCAACAATGGTTTATAAACTAGCCGTGAGGGGGAATGGTACAAGTTTATACCGCCTATAATTTATGGTGATTTTTATGGTGATGACTGGGGATGGTTAATCCCATTTTCATGTGGGTAAAACAAGAATAAGCCATGAATAAATGGTATGCTTACCATTCCCAGTCATGGGTGGTTTATAAACCATTGCTTTATATACCCACATTACTAGGTCAATCTTACATCGGCAGAAACTAATCCTTTAGTCTTTTGGTATGGGATTATCTACGTTCACCAGCTAAGAATTTAATTATTTGCAGGGTATCTAAGATTGGCACTGATATACTATACATTACTATACTAACAATGGGATTAGAGTGTGATAATTTTTTCACCATCTACTGGTGCGGGATTGTTTTACCCACATGAGTCCCATCAAGTGGTGCTAGCTGCTCCCAGGAGGATGTGAGAGACTTGCTGGACCGCGCTGAGTGCATTGGCTGCCAGGGAGCGACCCATGCCGCACAGGCCGCACAGGTGCGGATGCTGTGGATGCTGCGGATGCGGATGGGTGGCAGGGTGGCAGCATGTCACGATTGAACAATGGAGGATTTAACCATGAGGAAGTCAAAACATGAGATTCATTCCATGAAAACTGTCGATTTAGGCATGAAAAGAGGTGATTTCACTCAACAAACTAGGGGTTTAATTATCATACATCATGAAAAATATGGGGTTTTGACCAGGACAAAAGACATGAAATGATGGTGAAACATGGCGGTGTAAGCATGAAACATAGGGATTAAATGGATATGGACGAGTCTGAAAATGGGGCAGGGTGATGATAAACTATGGGACCCATCGGGTATACCACATTTTTTCCTCCAAAAATTCGCTGACAAAACCAAGCCCGACATACAAATCGAGTCACACCACACATGTAGAAACATCGTTTGTTGATTCAATGCCAAAAATCGAGTTGCCTCAAAATGTTGGGTGATTTGTGGTGATTTCATGGTGATTGAAGCATCATTCAGCATCACTAACACGGGTATTGAATGGTTTTGACCTGTTTCTTTCCAAAACGGGCGACCGTTTTCAAAAGGTGCGGCTCTGCCGTTGCGGCAGCGTCCTGCCCGATGAATCGGCCTACTGCGGCAAGTGTGGTGTGCAGTGGAGTGCAGGTGCCATGGCTATGGTTTTTTGTACCCGTAATGTCAACCCTGGATTGATAAACCCCTAGGCCTAGGCTGTTGAATTGGGAGGTTACCATGATTTAGTATCAAATTCATGACTATTGGAGGAGTACCCCTCTAATTGATAAACCATGTTTTTTTCATCCAGGGTTGACATTCAATGAGCATTTTTTCGCATCTAGACTCATTTCAGTGGGAAAATCAACCAAAAAATGCGGATTTTCCAGAGCTGACGCAGGATTTTCGAGATTTCCGAATGGGAATTTCTGAAAAAAAGAGAGGTGGATACCCAAATTGTCATCATTGCCACGCCGTTTTTCCCCACTTTAGGGGTGATATCTGCCATGGGACCACAGGTGGACAGGTATGGACGGTAAGTAGAAATGTGATTTTTGAGTAGCTTTTGATCGAGATGGCTTGAAAAAGAATCATGAGAGGGTCATCTAAAATTTCCAGAGAATGATTCTCATACTTTGTACTCCAGATGTTTGCATTGGAGAATGAAACAATAAAAGAGAGATGAGTATCCAACACAAGTCCCGCAGCCCAAAAAAATGTATATAAATCTCCCGCAGCCAAATAAATAAATAAATATATATATATATATAAATCTGTAAATGGATGATTTGCCATGCCTGATTACAAGAGGATAATTTGATCACAACGAATTTCGCGAATGAGCTGACCACCCATCCCAACATTTACCTAGATATATCATATCATAATACTAGCATTTTTGCAAAACACATGCACAACGTCCGTACGAGATCGAATGATACAATTTACAAAACCTGATGTACATGTCTGTGTATATATATATGTATAGATCCGATTCCTATTACCCTCTGGTTATTTGACACAGCCATGGAAAATAGCCCATTTATAAATGGTTTAGCTATGAAAAATGGTGATTTTCCATGGCTATGTTAAATAACCAGATGGTAATTTGTTTATCGTATCCAACATCATTCAAGGTGAGACCCCCATTTGTAGGTTTGTTTATAAACCCCATGAAGTATATCCCATGATATATCATTTCTATACCATTGTATATATATATCTATCTAATAAACACATAATGATGGTGTTGGGGAGATATATTCAATAATGTTTATAATGAACTATAATAATATATATTTATTGTATATATATATATTGTATATATATATATTGTATATATATATATTGTATATATATATTGTATATATATTGTATATATATATATTGTATATATATATATATTGTATATATATATATATATATATATATTGTATATATATATATTGTATATATATATATTGTATATATATATTGTATATATATATATTGTATATATATATTGTATATATATATTGTATATATATATTGTATATATATATTGTATAGATATATATATATTGTATATATATATTGTATATATATATGTTATATATATATTGTATATATATATATTGTATATATATATTGTATATATATTGTCTATATATATTGTATATATATATATTGTATATATATATATTGTATATATATATATTGTATATATATATTGTATATATATATGTATATATTGTATATATATATATTGTATATATATATATATTGTATATATATATATTGTGTATATATATATTGTATATATATTGTATATATATATATTGCATATATATATATTATTATATGTATATAATCTATATATCTCGGGGGCTCCATCCGAGATGGAGGGTATATTCCCATCCAATTAGAAGCTGGTTCAGAAACCATAGAATCTATCCATAGAATCAATCTATCTATCTATCTATCTATCTATCTATATATATCTATACATATATATATATACACATATTTCTATACATATATCTATATATCTATGTATATATATATATATTGTATATATATATATTTATTGTATATATATACATATTGTATATATATATATTGTATATATATATATTGTGTATATATATATATATTGTATATATATATATTGTATATATATATATATTGTATCTATCTATCTATCTATCTATATATATATATGTATGTAGATATATATCTATACATATATATATATATATATATACATATCTATACATATTGTCTACCGTAACCCCAACAGCCGTTCTTTTTTCGTTGCTTGAAACTGGCTATCTGTGCTGCCTTGGAGGTGCCCCGATGTCCCACACTTGCCAGCAGCTGGCGGCAGAGATCAACGCCTTAGCGCAGCAGATCCAGGACGCTGAGCAGGTCGGAAAACCATAGGAAAACCATAGGAAAACCATAGGAAAACCATTATATGATAATAATATATGATAATCTATCTATATATAGAATCTCCAATATATCTATAATAGATATGGATATCATAATATGGATATGATTTATTGATGGTGCCCGGGTGCCCCATAGTTAGCTAAGTTGGTTTTTACATAAGTCCAATAACTATGCTTTTTGTTGGTGATTTATCTATAGTATTCAATGGCTTATAAGCCATTTATAACTGGGGGGGGCACCACCTTGTATCATATAGAATCTATTATTGATCCAATATATGGATATATCTATAATATATGGATAAAATATAGAATCTATTATAGATAATTATATGATAGTTGCTATAGATATTGAATAGTTTCAATATTGATAGTTTTATATAGATAATTATAACAATCATATACAATATATTGAATATGTTGGATCTATTATAGAAACCCATCTAAAATCACCATCAACTATCCTCTGGTAAACATACAAAAAACTATGGAAAGATCCACCATTTTATAGCTGGGTAAATTCACTATTTCTATGGTCATTTTCAATAGCTATGTTGAAATACCAGAGGGTATCTATTATAGAATAGCAACTATCATAATAGAATATTGGATCAATTATAGACAATTATAATAGCATCCATTATCGAATATTGGATCAAATATAGAATAGCAACTATCTATTACAATTGGAACTATAATTATGGATATTGAGCAACTATTATGATTATCATTGAGCAACTATTATGATTATCATTGAGCAACTATTATTAGCAACTATTATATAATCAATATATGTTGATATTGGATTAGCAGAATAGCAACTAGAATAACTATGTTAGACTATCTAGTGGCTATGATCAATATCTAGTTGCTATGATTGTACATAAAACAGCTCTATGATTATCAGAAATATGGCTATGGATCTGGGAAAATGATGTTTTTTTTTTTTTTTTAAACCATGGGTTTTATCGTAGCTGTTTGAATGGTTGAAGATTTGGGGATCTGGCTATCTATTGTTACCTTGGGGGACTCAACATCCAGATGATGAAATGGGTCTATGGATTTATGGTTTCGATCTCTTTTTTTTGAACGCCAACTCCGCTGAAATCAACGGGCCCAAAATCATTTCTTGGGTTTGTTCCATTTGTAGCTTTTAACCGCAATCATAAACCATTGAAATCCAAAAAAAAACAAAAAACAATAGAAAGCAGAAGTAATCGTAGCAAGTTGATTTGAAAACGGGTTCTTCAAGTTTTCCCTAAAGGTCCTCCTATTAACGGATCCTTCGCCCATCTTCGCGACCTTGGAGCCTCGGAGGTCTTGCGCCTTAGCATGGCAGAGGCTGGCACAGGTGGCACAGAAAGCTGCTTCACCATGTCCCGGATCCTGGGCCCTCCCCAGGTGGAGGTGGGAAAAACTGGAGATGGGAGAAACTGATGACCCACCATTTTATACAATGTGGGACCCCCCAGTGATGTTAGTTGGTTTATAAACCCCATTAACTATAGTTATAAGTACCATAAACCATAGTTATTGGAGTTATGTTTACCAACTTAGCTATCTTGGGGGCCCCACATTGTAGCTGGGTAAATCAACGAACTTTCTATGGCCATTTTCAAAGAAACCAGAGGGTACCCGTTTGGGCCATCGGTTTGATGTGGAAAAAAAAACATTTGAAGACCAGATTTCAGGTGAAACCCATGGGGTTTTCCACATAACGAACTGGCGGATGTTTGCGGTTGGAAAACCATTGGATTTTGTATCTACCCTCTGGTTATGACTAACATAGCCATGGAAAATCACCATGTTTAATAGGTAAACCATCTATTTCAATGGGCCATCTATACCATGGCTATGTTAGTCATAACCAGATGGTAATTTTTAGAAAGGGTCAAGTGTAAAGTTTCATTTTCCAGTGCTTCTAAGCCCCTTGAGATTTTTTTGGTTGTTCGTCTAGGGGTTTCCCTTGGTTACTGTAGCCATAAGATGTTGATCTTGAGCCATGGGATGAATCTGCAGCCAAAAATGATGGGTGTTGTAATCTACTAGGTCGCTTAGTCCAAAAACGAGTAGGGAAAATGATGAACAAAAACACATCAATTATTCTGGGATCGGAATTTTGAGGTTTTTGAATTATTGTCATTTATATCTCCGAATGTTTTTTCCTGGTTGAAACCAGCATCATTCTTCATTGTTTTCCCCAGCAAAACCCACCCAAAACTGATGGATTCGCAGGACGTGTCGCAGGAAGAACTGGAACATCGCGAAATGCTCATGGAGCAAAGGACGCTAGCCATGGCCTGCACCCATAGAGAACAGCCAAAAATTTGGATGGACCAATTTAGCCAAAACAAATGGATGATTCAATTGTTTTTTATTATTATTATTTTCTCAACATTCAATCTAATTGATCAGAATCATGAATCATTGGGGATTTCGTCAACATTGGGGTTTCAAGCATCAAAATTGGACATTTGAGTGTTTATGACAATCCGATGAATGGAATCAATGGGGGTTAGCTCACATGGGAACGTAGCTGGCGATGTGTCAAGTCATCTGGTTTGTCTGGTATAAAGTTGGTCATTTTCAATATTTCCGTATGCACCTTTCTCAAAGAACTGAAACGTGTACTTGCATGGTTTGATGGTGGTGAATACGAAATTGAAAGGCCCCCACATGGTCTGCATGCAGAGCCAAAATCCAACGCCAGTGCTGGAAGAAGCCGGGAAAGCCTCTTCTAGACATTCCTGGTTTAAGTGTCTCCAAGCGAGACAAAAAACTATACTGGGGAATAATTATACCCAAAAGGCACCGGCTGGCAGCCAGCAACACCTTGTAAGAAGGTGAAAGGCGAAGTGAAGAGGGGGGAAAAAACACCTTAGGTGGGAAAAAACCTCTTCAGCGAGCCAGGCGGCACTAACCGTTAGTTCACTAACCCAAAGAAAATCAAAAGAGCACCACGCAAGAGAAGGGCAGACAACATCTTCAACCGTCCACTTTTTTGTGGGACATTTTGAACCATACCGATACAAAATAATACAACATATGGGGATGGGTTTGAACCTAGCCTATGATCCTATATGATACTATATGATTCGATATTTGATGTTAGGGTCTGTTTGATCCCCATATGATCTGAGACAATGTTTACGTCGGCTTTGGAGGCCTATGCTGACTGTACATCCGTTCATATCCCTGTTGCATCCCCCTACCCCCTTTCGGGTGCAGGAGAAACTTGGAAGATCTGAAGAAGGCGAAATTGCTGTTAGAAACCCGGCTGCTGGCGCAGCGAAATGCGGCGCCTTCGGCTGCGAACTGACTTTGTTTTCCGGAAATGGAACTTCTAGTGGGTCAAGCCATAGTTACTCCTTTATTCTTGCCGGAAATGGGGAAATCACATGAACATACATTACATTCCCATTAAATCCCACTAAATCCCGTGAATTGATGTGGGATTTAATGGGAATATATAGGGAATATATCTCCCATTAACAACATCAAAAAAACCTGCACTCCAGTGGGATTTGGGACGGCTATTCACTATCTGCTTGGTGACTGGATGAATGGGGATTATTGCTGCTTAATGGGGGATTAATGCTGGTATCTTCCGGGAATATTATTGCTGGTTGGTGGTTTGGCAAGAACATGGCTTTTATGACTTTCCATTCAGTTGGGAATGGAATAATCATCCCAACTGACGAACTCACTCCATCATTTTTCAGAGGGGTAGGTCAACCACCAACCAGCTATATCTGAAATTTTGGGTTTGGGGATAGTTATCCCTCAGCATCATTCATTCACCATTTCATGATTTTCATGGTATGGTACTGCACATGTTTTCCGTTCTGCGCTTCGCTTCCTGGCGCAGGAGCTTGCAAGGGAGAGCGGCGTGGCCGCCATGACGGCACTGGATGAAGAGGCCGCGATTTCCACGGGATTTCACCAAGGGGCCTGTTTGAAAAGGGGGAATGTGCCCCGAATTTCTGGCAATGTTAAAATAAGGAAAATGACAAGTAACCAGGTCCAGGACCCAATATGCTGAGGGGAATACATATGCAGTGCACAAATCTAGAGGTGGAGCATCCGCAAAAATTGTTATATATTATTCTATAATTAGGTTCGAATAATCCAAACAAAACGCACACCAGTTTGAACATTTATATATTTTCGCATCTAAAGTGCTGTTTATTTCTGACGTATTCTGTTCTCCTATGATACAGGTAAGATGGAGGGTCAACCATCCCAAAACCCGTGGTCATTGAGTATGAATCAGGCCTCAGTATTTCGTGAAGCGGCTTAGCTTTTGAGTATGTAGCTTTTCTTTTTTCGTTCCATATACATACATACATACATACATACATACATACATACATACATACATACATACATACATACATACATACATACATACATACATGCATACATACATACATGCATAGATAGATAGATAGATAGATAGATAGATGGAGAGAGAGAGAGAGAGAGAGAGATACATACATACATACATACATACATACATACATACATACATACATACATACATACATACATACATACATACATACATACATGCATAGATAGATAGATAGATAGATAGATAGATAGATAGATAGATGGAGAGAGAGAGAGAGAGAGATAGAGAGAGAGATAGATAGATAGATTAGATTAGATTAGATTAAATTAGATTAGATTAGATTAGATAGATAGATAGATAGGATAGATAGGATAGATAGGATAGATAGGATAGATAGGATAGATAGGATAGATAGGATAGATCGGATAGATAGGATAGATAGGATAGATAGGATAGATAGGTAGATAGATAGATAGATTAGATTAGATTAGATTAGATTAGATTAGATTAGATAGGATTAGATCAGATAAGATAAGATAGATAGATAGATAGATAGATAGATTAGATAGATTAGATAGATTAGATATATTAGATAGATTAGATAGATTAGATAGATTAGATAGATTATATAGACAGATCAGATAGATTAGATAGATTAGATAGATTAGATAGATTAGATAGATTAGATAGATTAGATAGATCAGATAGATCAGATAGATCAGATAGATTAGATAGATTAGATAGATTAGATAGATTAGATAGATTAGATAGATTAGATAGACTAGATAGATTAGATAGATTAGATAGATTAGATAGATTAGATAGATTAGATAGATTAGATAGATTAGATAGATTTGATAGATTAGATAGATTAGATTAGATAGATTAGATTAGATTAGATTAGAGATTAGATTAGATTAGGTTAGGTTAGATTAGATTAGATTAGATAGATAGATAGATAGAACCATAGATCCACAGATACATAGGTACATAGAGACATAGATACATAGATACAGAGATACACAGATGCATAGAAACATAGTAACATAGAAACATACAACCATAGATGCATAGAAACATAGATGCATAGATCCATAGATCCATAGATCCATACATGCATGCATGCATAGATGCATACATGCATACATAGATAGATAGATAGATAGATAGATTAGATTACAGTAGATTAGATTACAGTAGATTAGATTAGATTAGATTAGATAGATAGACAGACAGATAAATAGACAGATAGATAGATAGATAGATAGATAGACAGATAAATAGACAGATAGATAGATAGATAGATAGATAGATAGTTAGATAGATAGATAGATAGAAACATAGAAATATACACATACATATATATATACGTCGTTGAAACCACGACCACCCCATTTCCAGATCCATTTCGTTCCTGGTCCAACGTGACCCCATCTCAGGCGCAGGCGGCCTGCTACTGTGATGGAGTGAACTGCCAATACAGGTGCTGGGGCCCCCACATTCAGCCACAGAACATACAATTTCAATTGGTGATATATTGTTTCTATGACATGAACCATATTTTGGGGCAATTTTTTAAAACTTGATTCCTAGTCATTTAGTCAGCCACCGTTTTTTTTGGTGACCCGGATTGGATGATAAAAAGTACGTAGCGGCTGCCTGTCAATCGGTGAGTTCTTGTGGTTTTCCAGCAGTTCACCCATCCCCAAAAATCCACTGGGACGGACGATCAATGACCTTGAAGTACAGGTACCAAAAAATATGTGCAGGGTCCCCTTGAAATGCGATCATGAAAAAATCATCTTCAACCATCAGGATTTTCTCTTGGTATTTTCATCAACGATCACTTTGATGTCAATCAACTGGGTGTGTTTAAGAAAAATGAACTTCCGATATAGATTTTCCCAGCATTTTTTGAACCTTCGGGACCTGGTTCCAAGCGCGCCATTTCGTCTCCAGGCGACAAGTGGAGGTGCTGCAAGAGATGGTGCAGACGCTCAGGGGACTCTCCAATGAGATGGGCGAAAAACTGCAGCAAGCCACCGGTGACTCGACGGTCGCGAAAATCTGGGGAGGGGTTTTGTGGGGTTTTTAGGGGCCAGATCGACTTGGACTTTCTGGGAACCCCAAAATCTGTTTTTTTTAGTGGATCAAATTGCATCTCATGACAATTCCATGACTTTCTGAAGAACTCTCTGTGTTTTTTGAGTGGATCTGCTGTGACAGCAATGGACCCAAGAAACCATCACCGATCCACGTGAGCCCAGCAATCCAACTAGTCTCAGTTGGCAACCCTTCCACAGTATCTTTGTTGGTGATCTAATTTTGTTGGTAAAATCCGCAAACATTCCAACTTACCGAACTTACCAGCCAATGGTTTACCACTTAGACTTCTTATTCGATGGTCATAAATTACATGCAAAATCTATGTTTATACAATAAGTAATCATGGCCATGGTTTAGGTATTTTGGTGAAAAAAAAACAACTGGGGGCACATCCGCGCCGTGAATCCTCGGGAAAAAACCGAATCAGCCAATTGCCACCTGGTGACTGTATGGTGAATATGAAATACCCCATGGTAATTCTATAGTTTGCAATGGAAAGTCACCATTTTTAGCAAGTAAACCATCTGGAAATGGGCCATGCTCCAGTTCACCTATTCGTTCGTCCCAAAAAACATGCCATCAGCTCCACAATTTCATGGAGAAACACCAAACCCAGTCGTTTTCACTTCAGACTTGGTATATCTAGAAGAACAAAATCCTATTGGAATCATATCAGCCAACTTAGCTCACTAGATCCCATGAAACCCACCATTTTTGCTCATTTTTGGATCTTTTCAAAGCCGTACGGAAGAGCCCGCGCAGCTTCCCGTTGGTTTCGGTGGCTTCCAGGTGAACACCTGCAGATGACCATGGCCTTGACCACGGTGCAGGGTTCCTTGCAGGAAGCCGTGCAAGTCGTTGATCAGAGCGCCCAAAACGTGGACGCAGAGCCGGATAAGGCGCACATGACAGGGGACAGGGGAAGCTGTTGTTTGGTATATGTATATATATATATACATATATATATATATTTGACATGATTTTCCAAGTTGTTGACTTTTTTTTGGAAGGGATTTGTTATGACACTGTTGTATAAATCAGGATCCAGTAATCCATTCCCCCTAATACTAGGCACCCCTAGAAGCCCCTGGGTTAGTCGTGGATATATTCATGTATTTTATGGTAGCCAGCCATTTATGATGATTTACCTATTCAAAATGGTGATTTCCAGTTTACCAGAGGCTACCGTTGTGATATCATCTCTGATCGAGATCGAGATCTCGCTCTTTCCTCCGCCTGGAAGGCAGCCTTGAGGCGTATGCTGACACACGTCTGCAGCACTCTGCAGGAAACCAAGCGAAGATCTGATGGGAGACCCAGCCAGTGGATGGTGGATTCAGTGGATGGTGGGACAACCTGCAATTTCTACCCTCTGGTAAACAGCCACATAGCTATTGAAAATGGCCATAGAAATAGTGGATTTTCCCATTAAAAATGGTGGATCTTTCCATAGCTATGTTAAATTACCAGAGGGTATTCATCAAAGCTGGCTGGGAAATGCCAATTCTCGAACTAGGGGAGCCATTACAACGAGCCATGTCAGCCATGTAAGCCATGGAGCTGATGACCAGATAATACACTAATCATAGTTGTAGCAACTCCAATTTTAGATGCAGAAAAGTTGAATGTATCACTATTTCAGAATTGGATACAAACTTTTCGACCTTTATATAGGGGTTTATTTTTTGATAGGTTGTTTATCCAGAAATTTTCAATGGGGATTTCACCAAGAAAAATGGATGTTGTTTAGCAATCTTTGATGGGTCACGGGCGGGGGGTGTAGCAATGGGTTTATACGCTTATAGACCCATAAAACAGGGTGAATTGTCCAAACAAAAATGGTAGTCTATCTATCTATCTAATCTAATCTAATCTAATCTAAATCTAATCTAATCTAAATCTAATCTAATCTAATCTAATCTTATCTAATCTTATCTAATCTAATCTAATCTGATCTAATCTGATCTAATCTGATCTAATCTGATCTAATCTGATCTAATCTGATCTAATCTAATCTGATCTAATCTAATCTAATCTAATCTAATCTAATCTAATCTTATCTAATCTAATCTAATCTGATCTAATCTGATCTAATCTGATCTAATCTGATCTAATCTGATCTAATCTGATCTAATAATCTAATCTAATCTGATCTAATCTGATCTAATCTGATCTAATCTGATCTAATCTGATCTAATCTGATCTAATCTGATCTAATCTGATCTAATCTAATCTAATCTTATCTAATCTAATCTAATCTGATCTAATCTGATCTAATCTGGTCTAATCTGATCTAATCTGATCTAATCTGATCTAATCTGATCTAATCTGATCTAATCTGATCTAATCTGATCTAACCTGATCTAACCTGATCTAACCTGATCTAACCTGATCTAACCTGATCTAACCTGATCTAATCTGATCTAATCTTGATCTAATCTGGTCTAATCTGATCTAATCTGATCTAATCTAATCTAATCCATCCTATCCTATCCTATCCTATCCTATCCTATCTAATCTATCTAATCTATCTAATCTATCTAATCTATCTAATCTAATCTAATCTTATCTAATCTTATCTAATCTAATCTAATCTGATCTAATCTGATCTAATCTGATCTAATCTGATCTAATCTGATCTAATCTGATCTAATCTAATCTGATCTAATCTAATCTAATCTAATCTTATCTAATCTAATCTAATCTGATCTAATCTGATCTAATCTGATCTATCTGATCTATCTGATCTACCTGATCTATCTGATCTATCTGATCTATCTAATCTATCTAATCTATCTAATCTATCTAACCTATCTAACCTGTCTAACCTATCTAATCTATCTAACCTATCTAACCTATCTAACCTGTCTAACCTGTCTAACCTATCTAACCTATCTAACCTATCTAACCTATCTAACCTATCTAACCTATCTAACCTATCTAACCTATCTAACCTATCTAACCTATCTAACCTATCTAACCTATCTATCCTATCTAACCTATCTAACCTATCTAACCTATCTATCCTATCTATCCTATCTATCTATCTATCCATCTATCTATCT